TACTTTCAAGTACTATTTACTATGAATATTTAAAGTAATGTTTACAAAAAGTACTTTAAAGTACAGTTTATTAAAAAAAATTTAAAGTAGAGGGGGATTTAAGTTTATTGTTTATATTTGTGGGAAAATCAGTCGTAATAATTTGAAATCTAGTTGTAGCTCTGTGAAATTAGAAGTTAGATAAGAGAGGAAAGGATCGTAAAAACAATAACTCTGAGAATTATTAACGGTATAAGGAGAGAGTAATATTTTAGAAATCTTTGAAAGTCGAACGTGAAAGAATTGATTTCGAGTGTTTGGCAGCACTTCCTGATATTTTCTTATCGGCCATCTTTGAGGTGTATGTATAGATATATATATAAAATGCGACCAGCTATTATGAAAATTTAATTACTTCCTGACCTTGCATTAAAACACATAAGAGAATAATTTACGAAGGACGCTTATTGTCATCCTGTTGTACACGTCACCAACATGATTCGCGGCAAAACAAATGTTTCATAACTTCAAATGGAATTCATCGCGTGTAGAATGTTTATGCAATCAAGACCTCCTGGGTTTATCCTACTCTGCAAAATCTGTTTCATCCAACTAACTTTTACCATCATCTGAGCCTTTTATAGTCACTTTGCTATCCAATTTCAAATTTAATCTGATTTACTGTGGGTTTTGAAAAACACTTTGTTTAATGTCTATTAATATCTATTAATTTTTCATATTTATTAATATTTCATATTTATTAATATTTTATATCTATTAATATTTAATATCTATTAATATTCCATTCTTAATCAATTTATTAATATCAATTCTTTACTACCCATTTTTTTTATTAACAAGAGAAAAATTATTAACAAAGAACGTCTTTCTGTAACTTAAAGATTTGAAATTCTTAGTATTTAAAAAAATATAACTTTTGGAAATAAAAGTGACTAAAAAGTGCATTTGCAATTTGGTGAATTGAAAATAAAGACAAAGTGACTAGAAAAAATCTGCACTATTTGCAGATATGTAAAAATATATATAGTTTACTGACATTATTACTAAAGCTGTTCAATAAAAATATTAGTTTCTTTTTCAAGAAAATGTAATATTGATTAGATCAAAGATTCAATAGAAAAAAAAGACAAACCTATGTCATTGACCTACATATCTATTCAATCGAATTCCGTTTATTGTATTAAGAATTTTGCATGATTCACACTGACAAGTGCGATATAAATTCAAGATTATAAATTTATTTCAATTTATTAAAAATTATTTTCTCCAGTAAAATTTTAATAGATTTTTTTTAAAAATTAATCTCTTAGGAAAAAAAGCACTTCGTCTATATGCATTTTGAGTAGAAATCAACTTAAACTAAAGTTATTTAATTTCAAGTGGTAAAAGTATGTGAAAGTAGATTTAGAAAGAATGCTCTCGTTGTTCAATAACTTCTAGAAACATAAAGGACGTAAGTTTTCAATACTTTCTACTAAAAGTTTTTTTTAATTTTAGGCATTTAAAAATGATTGTAGGGGTCCTCTTCTTTCAGTGGAAAATTTTTCAGAATTGAAAGTTCATATAACTAAAAGAAACCCAAATAAAAAGTTAAGGATTGCTATTTTAGAAAAGAAAACCAAATATTCTGACAATGATTTTTTAACATTGAAATCGAAAAAAAATTTTGCAAAATCGAAAGTGGATCAGTCTGTAGATGGCATTGACCAGCGAAATTTTGCAAAGCAAGGAGTAGAAATGAATTGTCAAGTCCTACGCAATATTAGTGCGCTAACGTGCCAAGTTAAATTTATAATTCTGTATGTCATAATTCTTTGCTGGTTAAAGCATTTCAGAAGTTATGACCTTGATAATCTTTTTCATTTCTAAGTTCTTTAGGCAAAAAATAAACCGTGTTTATTAAAAATCAGTTCTAAATTTCTGGTTTCGGTAGGAAAATAGAATCAATTTAGGATTTAGTACCAAAACTGGTACCTTCCTTTTTGAAAGAGGTTTTGAAAGTGAAGAAAGGAGTTTTTAGAAAAAAACAAGAGGTTTTGTTTCTTTGATGATTAGATAATTAAATATTTGTGAAAATGTATGTATTTTTGAAAAAAAGAATTTTTTTATTGTTTAGTGATTAAATATCTGTTTGATGACTAAATAAGCATTTCTCTTTAAGTATCGTCGTCGGCTGGGATCAGTCTCAATTGAGGGAGGATAAACTCGAGAGTGCGGCACCGGTCTGCCTCTTGGTTATCCCCACCAATTCCTAATAGTTTCTCGCTTCGTGACCCCTCATTCCCCTCACACGTGCATCACCACTGCTCCCCTCTCTCTCCTCTCACCTCCTGATACACCAATCCTAAACAGAGATCACGAAACGCGTATTGAGAGTACGCTTATTTTAACATGCCTATTTCTGATATTGTATCCCACTGGCGGTCTGTCTTCGGATTAGAAGTTTCTACTCTGAATATACACTACAGAAAATACTGCCTCTAAACTCTCAAAACTTCATAACAATATGATTTCATCTGAGTGGATGTATTATGACAATGTTTTTTCAATTTATCTTCAATTTTTGTTCAATTTTCTCCAAAGAAGGAATTTTCGATATTTTTGCAATATCAGAAAAGTAAAATAAATAAAAAAGGTCGTTTTTTAGCAAAAACGTATGTTTTGAGAAAGAAAAAAAATGTTGGACTTCGTAATTAAATTAATCATCTTGTATAATTTCTTTCAAGGTACGTGTTAATCTCCTTAAAGTCGTAGTGCCTCTCCAGCTATAATATCAACAAGCTTCTTCTAAAATAATTAAATCAATTTCCATCTCTAAAATTATTTCACCCGAAAGAATTTTATATTTATTACTATTTTTTTCAAAGCAACAGGTGCTACGCGTGTTCAATTATTTGATTTTTTTCATCGATTGAATGTCAAACAAGAAAGTCAAATAAAAAGAAAACAAAGTATAAAAAAAAGAAATTAAACATCGATAAATGTTTATAAAAATTAATATTAAATAGAGGAAATATCATCTTTAATATTTTTCAACTTGAATTGAAATATCCCCCCTCTCCTCACTTTTTGTAAATTGAGTGGCACGAGCCAGTGTCTGTTTCCTATCGAGCACACACATACACATACACCCCCTCCCCCACCTTTAGTTACGTCACTGACTGTCCATTGCGATGCCTGTCGAGAATTATATATATATATATATATGTGTATACTTTTTTTGTTGTATATTTGACGTGATGAAAATTCGAAAGCAAACTTGAATCTTAATCCAATTTGAAAAAAAAATTTTCTTTAAATGATAAGAGAGTGATGCTTATTCCTTATCATTTAACAAGAAATTGCGCGGTAATTTACAAAAAAAAAATTGTGTATATTTTTTTTTCTTATTTAAAGCATTACATGTTTTCTTACACCTGCACGACAAAAGTTTTATAATTTATTAATTCATTCGTTGAAGAAAAAGGAATTGCCAGTGAAGGTCGTGTGCGGAGAGTAAGAAAAAAAAATTGGACGTGTACATGATGGCAGTTTGACAGAAGCGTTGAAAGTTTCTGTTGACAACGTCACTCGCACGTTCCGATCTTTTTTTTGCACGTCATTTACAAAAATTGCTTCTTTTTTTTAATTATAGTCAATTAGGATTGTCGATTCTATTAAAGTAATTGCAGAGTTATGATTTTTAAATGATTTAAAAATAATTTAAAATCAATTTTAAATTCAAAAATTGTAAATTTAAAAGTTGTAAATTTAAAAATGTAAATTTAAAAATTATAAATTTAAAAATGTAATTTTAAAAATGTAATTTTAAAAATTGTAAATTTAAAAATAAATAAAAATTGAAATGAATTAAGAAAAATATTGTAAATGAAGGTAAACAAGCTAAATGAAGAAGAGGAAGAATATACAAAATTTGAACGCATAAATTGAAATTTATATAAATATAACAACAATGTAGCAGGGTTATGATAAGAAATCAACTTTAAATAAAACTGGATAAATCCAATTATTGTTTAAATAAGATAAGATGAACGTTAATAATTTCAGTTGCTTATTGAAATATTAAAATTAAAATCGCAAAATTTTAATAATTTCAATAATTTTATCAAAAAATGACTTTCTGTTTAGCGTCTCACGTCAATGAACTTCTTTAAGTAGTCTCGCTATCTTCCCTGAGAAATATTTAGTAGAGTGGGACAAAGAAACATTCAAAATATTTAAATTCGAAATAGTCTTTTATTTTTATATCTTTACCACTTACGTTCAAAATAATTAATTAATTACGTAACTTAAGGAACGGATTTAACAGAAGAAAAACAGATTTAGTAACAAGTTGTTTGAAAACATTTGGTTAGTTTTTAATTCGAAATTTTATCCTCAGTGCTAGGGTCGAAAATTGCCAAATTGCAGAATCATAAAAGAAGGGAAAAAGTTTTTTAATTCTTAGAAATTGTGTCAAAGTTTTGGTAAGCATCAGGTTCTGTTTTTCTGCTACAATAATAACATGGTGTACGTGACGTTCTGCATTGCTTTTCCAACACACTTGATTCACTTGAGTAGAGCATGAGATGAAAGCGACAAATCTTTTGGAACAGTTAACCATTGTGAAAGCGCGGGATATAAGAGTTTAAAGCAATAAAAATGTATACACATTCACATTATCCCTCGAGACTCGATGACAGAATACTACTTAGGTTCTCTACCTCTTTGGGAAATAAAATCTTGTAGACTAAACATTTAGTTTTATCGTTCAAAATTTAAGATGACTTGAAACAAAACAAGTGACTCATTCCTAGAAATTCAAAGAACCAAAGATTTAGAAGATTTAATATTTCCTAAAGATGATTTAATTATTCACAATCAGTTTGAAAAGATTTTGCTGGAATTTGTTGCTTTCGCGGGAAATTCAAATACGCGCCGTGTCTCCTCTCACACGTGTTTTTGATGGAGCGCGGAAATTGTGTTATTGTTATTTATATATGTGGTAAAAAAAAACTTACCCTAGAGATCAAGGACTTGCTTTATTCTTTATAAGTTTGTTTGTTGTTTTATAATCCCAAAAGTGTCACTTAGAAAAAGCACTAAATTGCCACAGCACAAAATTTATTTTTTTAAATAAAATCACGTGAAATTGTCACTTGTACACACAATAAATAATTAAGAAAGACACTCTAAATTCAACTGAGCGGAACACTTTTCAAACCGTAAACATCACCGCGTCGTTGTCGGTGACCGACTGTCAGTGCTCACTGGTAGTGTACTGTAACCGAGTCTCTCGGAGAGTGAGGCGAACGAGCGAGCTGATTGTGAGCGTCGGCGCTTGCTGTGTCAACGTAGTAATGTGCTCTCGAACTCAGTGTAGAATCCGAAGAGCAATCGACGGCCTAACGCTCGGGGTCGAACGCGCGGCGCCTCATTGGACTCGCCGGAAGAAACGTCAAACCGCGTTCCACCTCTCTCTTTCTCTCTGCCCTCTCTCTCTCTCTCTCTCTCTCTCTCTTACTCTTTATCTTAACTCTGTCTGTAGTTTGCTATAGTGTTATTTGTCTCCCTTTCTCTTGCGCTCCTCTTCTCTAAAACTTTATTTATATCCGGTGCTTGCGCTGCTAGTTGTTCAGTCCGTTTATCACGGGTGCAGTATGAGAAACTATGAGAAACTACTAGATAGCTAGCTACTAGATAATAGTCCTAATTTGGGTACCCGATAGGTTTTAATCGTGGAGAGACTGCCACTCTCTCAGGTTGGACAGAGTCAACCCTCCGGGTCGAAAGTAATAAGTACTATTCGACAAAGAAAGTACTACTGTATACGATCCAATATCTTCATAGAGTAATGAATCTTCGGTGTAATGAAGAATAAAAATCTGGTCTGGTAGAAGGTAGCCTATCTTGTAGTAATGGTAGTATGCTACAAGATAGGCTAGCTATTGTATTGCTGTTATATGTAGATGTAAAGTTTGTTAGTAGTGACATTGGTATGTATGGGTGGGGAATTGGTAGTGGTAGTGATATCATTGGCACAGTTCAAGTAATGTTAGTAAAGAGATGTAGTGGTGGTGGTAGCGTAAGGCTTTGGTCGTAGTAGTATCATTAGCATTGTTGAGGCATAGTGCGGTGGTAGTGGTGGTGGTGGTAGTATAGTAGTCATCCGAGTCGTGACGAAAGGGTGGGAGGTTGCGCGACATACACAAGAGTGGGACGGAGATATGCGACGAAAGCACAGGCACACAAACACCGTGACTATATTCCTTCGAGTGGGGGGGAGTGTAGGAGCCTAGCTGTCGACGACGAGAGAGACGGGTGGCGGGGGAGGCTGTGTGACGGGGTGACTGGCTAAGAGGGGTAGAGGGCAGGGATCGTGCAGGAAGGGCACTGGCGAGTCACGTTGGAGGGGCATGAGGGGTCGCACGCGGCACGGATGAGATCCGAGGGGTTGCCGAGCGTTTGGGGGTGGGGAGAGTTGACCTGAGCTAGTTCCCCTCCATTCAATCCACCACGGCCACAATATCGGTTATAGCGAGCCACTGTTGCCAGTGTTGCCAGATTGTGCGCCTCAACGGCTGCTGCAGCGGCGGCGGCAGCGTGTGGGTGGAGCCAGGCGTCAGAGGGAAAGGAAAGGTCCCTTGTACTGCCGTTAAACATGCCGCTCGATCTGCGAGAAACCCGCACGCTTCTTGCCCTCCGTTTTCTACTCTTGGCGTGTGCCTGCCACTGCCACGCCGTTGCTGCCGATGCTGATGCCCCTGCAACATCCTTGCCAATGCTCGCTTTCAATTCGAAACTCGAGTGTGAGAAATCTTCGGATGGATTTTCAAATTCCGATGATCGGTTTACAAAAACCCATATACTGTCCAGTTGAGGTCGAGAACGTCGAAGGGGGCGGCGGCTCCTTTCGTAATCTTGCCCATGTTCACCACTGACGTAGGTGGCTCACTCCTTGCCACCCTTTCTACACTACGTTCTCCAATACCGATTTAGGACTCGATCTGAAAAATCTCACACTCGAGCAGCAACTTTCCTTTCAACGTGTGTAATGACAGGAATGTGGCACACATTCTCCTCGCAGACAATGCATTTCCGAAAGTTAATTCGGAGATAAGCAAATGAAATCGTATTACATGTATCCGAAGCTCTAAATGTGTCAAAAAGAGTCGATTTCCAGTAGGGGACCTTGATCCAAAAGATAACTGTAAACCTTCGAGACGTTATTTCTTAACATTAATTCTTCTTTAGAGCAAAATGGGATTTCTGCACTGAAGAAGAATCAATATTTCCAGAATTTTAAATTCCCATTCGTTCCGAAGTTCGAGTGCTGTCTGAAAAAAAGACAACACGGATGGAGTCAAAAATTGATAACGCAGTTAGTGAAATTTTTGACAGTACACACTATCAAATATTGCAAAAAGGATTTAATTTTTCCAAAGAATTATTGTCTGGTAATTAACTGGAATTTTCCATTATTGCGACTAAAGCAATGCAAATATAGTTTCTTGAAAATTTCAAGATAAATACTCAACTCAATGCTCCAGAACATTCGTGTGTGTATATGTATATATATGCAGTTGCTTGAGAATGCTTATATATGCTATACGTGCGCGTATACATATATATAAAGCCAACGTGCTGCGCACTGATGTTCATGCGATATACGTAAATTGTCGCATACCAGTTATTTCCAGTGCGACTGTACCTAAGCTACCTATATGTATACGTATTCTATCTCAAACACATATACTCATTTAATATATAATATATTCGCGTATAATCTCTCTTGGTTAGTATAGAAGACGAGGAGGAGAGACTATATACAGTTGTCGTTAAATGTTTCACGGATATTCAACAAGAAACACACTTGTATGTGTTTTTTCAGACAATCACGGTCGTACAGGAGGTCCTTCAAAGGTATAGCCTCGAAATGTCGAGGATTTCGGTTCTGATTCTTCGAACTTTGTATTTTATATATATAATATAACTCTGTGGTTTTTTTTGTATTTTGCATTCGTCACCATTTATAAGTCATTAAAATTAGAAATTATGCATTCTGCATATATTCTGCATCAGACATTCTTTTGTACAAAATAGATAAATTCATAAATTTTTGAAAATCGTTCGTATTTATAATACAGTTATATAAATATATTTCGAATTCGAAATATATTGTCGCGTATAATTTTAGACAAATTGAATTAATTTAGATCTTATCCCCCTCTGATATACTAAAAATTTCAGTTGATGAATTAACAAGTATACTGTAATTTAATTTTCAGTGTCTTTTGACAGTATTATTATTGTACAAAATCTCATAGTTGCAAAAAAACTATTAATAATTCTCGACGGTTTATATTTGTTTTAAAAAATCTTTGTTATACAATGTATTATACATCGGTGATAATTATTCAAAATGTATACTTTGAACAATATATTCAAAACTATTGCTATAGTTATATTGATAATTAGCCATCATGAACCTAAATTACAGTTTATGTATAAAATAAATACGGTTTTAGGGTATTATAACGAAGGCAACCATTAATAGTTCCAATGCTGTGGCAAACACTCTATGAAATCGAATATCCAACATTAGCAACAAATATTTGCCACACTCTGTTCCAAATATTTTAGTTATTAGACTATTTGCTACTTTTTAGATTTTAACTTTGGTCCATTTAAGTAGTTTTAACCGTTCGGACTTTAATCATTTACTGGTCTTGGTCGAAATATATTCTTCATATTTTTTATAAGTAAACATTGAAACGTTTGAATTCTTTATTAGCAGTTTTAAATTCTAAAAAAGTCGTCCATACACCAAGTGGATCACTTTTTGACTTCCTATCTTGGACATTTTGTGGTAAAAAAAAATAAAATTTGACGAACCCTCCTCAAAACTGTGACCACGTGATATATAGACGACGCCTAAATATAAAAATTTGGAACTAAAAATATTCTAGAATTATATTCTTGATTTTTAATTATAGAAATAAAAAATTGCACCGTCACGTCAAATAACTGAATTGTTTGAATTTAAAATTTTATTTTTGTGTATTTATCTATAAATACAAAAAGCAGGGAATAAAGAACTTTTTTAGAATGTTATTTTTTTCGTATATAACAGAATTTTATTTTACCATGGAAATAAGAAAATATGGGTAATATTGTTAAACTTCTGATTGGAATTTTCGATTAGTTTTGAAATTTCTAAAGGATTTTATTGGAAATTTTGTCATTAACTTAAAAAGAAGGTTTTTCCTCAAAGTAACAGCTTTCCATTATAAGAAAAGTTTGGAACAATAAAAATACTATTTGTCTAGGTGACCATATTTGTTGAAACATAATTAGTCTGTGGTACCTGGGCGGGAAATGCACCTGACGCCTTTGGACTTTAGTATATATAGGAAGATAGGTAGATTATTAGTATTACAATAGTACATAATGAATTTTTTCTATTATTCGAAGCAATACAATTTTGGAGTTAAAAATTAATTTTTTTTCTTGAAATGTTAATAATAGTCAATTAAGAGGTAAGTTTGGCAGCAGACAATTTGGGTTTAAACATTTTGAAAGTTTTATTCAAGTGTCAAACGATGGTTTCAATTATTTCTCATTAGGAAAAAGTATAGGAGAGGAAAATAAAGTTTTAATTACATTCTTTTGAAAAATTTAAATTTTATATAAAAATATTTTAATATTTAAAAAATAATTTTTTTTATTCAAGACTGTTATAATTTAGAAAAAATTGTATTTAAATAGAAAAATTACAGGTGTGAATTGTGACGTTAAGTTACAAGTTTGGTAACATAATTTATCTACTGTTGGATAATGTGTTAATATTTGAAATGTGTCAAGTTTCCTAAACGTATCATCATCTCATTCATTTGTAGCAAATTGACCAGAAGGAAGAATGAAGGAAATCTTTTAAAAATTTTAACTGCATCTCAAACATGAAAATCTCTCTCATCGACATAAAGCATCAGTAGTAGTAGTAGTAGTAGTAGTAGTAGTGGTGTTCAGAATAAGCTGTTTATAGTTGTTGAACGGTTAGAAAATCTGCGCGAGATTATTGTTTAGCCATCTTTGGCAAATAGTCAAAAGCATTGGAAAGAAAAATCAAGGTTTTTCGTTTAAACGTTGTTACTATATACATATATATAACGGTGTATGCCTTTGCTTTCTACCTGTTCTCTCTTGTCCCTGAAAAGAAATATACTAATAGGAGGTCGGTGGCTTTGCACCAACACAAATTTCATATTTCCCCTGTAATTTATTACCAGTCAAAGCTTTACTCAGTCTTCTTTATATTGAGAAAATTCCTTCCGGGTGGGACTTTCTTTTTCTTTTTTCAAAAAATTTTTCCTCTAGAAACAAAATATTTTACTTTTACGAGATTTACCGCTTTGCATTGGTTTTTC